TGTATGTGACTAGTAACTCAATAATATCTATAATAGCTATAAACTTCATTAAGGTTTCAAGCGGTCATTGAGTAGATAGCATTTCATCGTTCAGTACAAATATGGTGGTCCAAATATCCCACTTCTTCTAAAGCTATTTTCTCTCTATCTGGAGAAACGTACTTATTCTTTCTATTGGAAAACCGTATACCACGTTACAAATCTTGAGATAAGACTGACATGAGCAATTATCGGCCCATAAATATTACTTGAGTTATATCTAGGAGTATGGAAAAATTGTTGGTGAAGAACTCTCCAACCATTTATTCACTGGAAAATTTATCATCGGTTCTCAACATGGACATGCCACTTTGACTTCATTAATTTAGTCCTTACTCAACATAAGCGAGGATATCTAGTTTTACTGTTGTACTTTCACATTTCTCAAGTTTTTGACATTGCTACCACCTAGCTTCTTATAGGCGGACTCGCGTCTCATGGAGTCGAAAACCTTCTGCTTGCTTGGTTCAACTTTTTCCTCAGCCACTGACACCAAATAGTCAAAATTAACTCTTCCTTGTCAAATGCTGTTCGATCAAAAGTGGTGTAATATAAAGTAGTCTTAATCCCTTTGCTTTTTCAGTTTATACCAATAATATTTGCGATGGTTTTGACGTGGGTAAGCCCTTTCTATATGCAGATGATCTTAGAGTAGTGTATTAACAATATAAAAAATTGAATCAGCATCGAACTCAACAAGGTAGCCCAATAGTGCTCAACGTGGCAGCTAGATCATAACACAGCTAAATGTGTTTCAGTAATGCATCACTCAACTTAGATCTTACCATAAAGGTAAGGTGTTATTTAAATCACATACATTAGTGGACTTAGGTACTCCTACAATTTGTTCTTCACAGAACAGGTCTCGAAACAGACCCCCAAGTCCCAACGTCTTACGGGTTACATAATTCATAACCTCTATAACGAGATGTGTATTTTGTTGCATAAAGTGTGTGTTCGACCACTCCAACAATACTGCATGTTTATCCTTAGTGTACGAGTAAAAAGGGAGACAATTTACACTTTGTATTCTTGGAACTGATTGTACCTTAAATTATAAGTCCAAATGTAATAAACTTGAACTGGGCCCTTTATGGAAGAAGTGGGTCAGACTAGACCTAGTCTTTTTCTTCCAAATACTTAGTAAACAATCCTTTACATACAGTGACGTAATTAAATGTACAGAAAATCCCAGTTACAGCGACTGCAACTTCTTATCATTAGTGAAAAAAATACATTCTAAATAATCTCTCGATATGAATTACTTTACCAGTAAATCTTCCAGAGTCTGAAATAATTCTACCACAATCTATTCCTGAGATAAAATCACTACTATCCTTTGTTCGCCGCATCGATACTTACTTCTCTGAAACTGCACTGAATTTTATTGTACCTGTAAGTGTATCTTATTCCACAGGTGAGATTATAGGGACTTTAAATGCTTAGTCATTTATACTATTGTATCCACTAAGCAGGCCTACCTATCTTGTTACTTTACACTTCTGTTTTATTTTCTCTAATTATAAATGGTTATAATCAATTCATTATGAGGCAGGAATTGACCTTAAATGCACCGTTCATACATCAACAGGATGTCAACTTAAAAAGAATTAAAAGTTTCCGGTTGATGCCTTTCATTGCTGTAATACATGTGAAAAATGTACTACCTAAACAATTTTCAAATCAGAAAACTTAAAACAATCTTATATCACATATTTGTTTTCTATATTTAATGTTACTATCTATATCAAGCGGATTATGCCTGTAAACTGGCATGAATTCTGTGATTATTTTCAGAATATATATATAATTAAGCGACTATCTATCGTAATCCAGTCTAGGAGAACCTGTCCTACCTTTAAAATTAATGTTCTACTTACACCAACGAGGTCACACGAAGTATTAGTGGGGTCTCCAGATACACAAAGGGTGGATCGCGTCGGTTTTTTATATTGACAGATTAAGGTCAAACGAAAGACCGTACTTGGATTCTGCATGCGCACTTCGCAGTCGTAGCATATATCGATGATGTGAGACCCTAGTGTCCTAGCTAAGGAAGCTTGTTGTCCTATCATTGGGTTAGGAGAATTATTTGATGAGGGGAAGATTTTATCGTGAACAAAATGATCCCGGATGCTGTTAGAGATGAGAAGCGGTTGTTATTTCCCAGGTACTCATAACATGGAAGGACATTTTTTCTTGAAGGACAACTAAGCTATAATTCAATTTTTAAGAAACAAACTTAGAGGTTTTAAATAATTATTTTATCTATTAATCTAAATTAAACTTTAAAATGATATTATATCTGTAAATCAAATTCAATAACAGTCATATTTATAGTATTCAATAATATGTATACATAAAACTGAAGCTACCATTATTTAGCTTTATTACATAACACGATGTAAATAATCGTAGATCGTATTAATGATGTACAAACTTTTAAAAAAAAACATTCCTTATTACAAAATTTATCAAATTTCTTTATGTATCAGGTCAATTGTTTAATCTATATATTTGTTACTTTGATAATTTGTCACCATAACAAAATACCTAACTTACTCCTACATAACTTCAAGATAATTCATAAGTTGAATTCGTTCATATCTTTTTATAGCTTATATTGATTTAGTAGTTGTTTATAATGTGATATGAAGGGATACAGCATTTTACAATGTAGTAGTAGTAGTATCAGTACTAATCAACTATCATTTTATTCGATATGTTTCATTGAACTATGATTAGTGTAACATTGAAAAAAGTATAATTAACTAATATCAGTCATTACAAATTATTTGAATGTTTATAAAAGAGTTGATTGGAACTAATTAATTAATTCTTATGAGCATGACGTATATAATTTCAAATTGATCTAGTACCTTCAACTTTTATTTCGATCCATTTTTTAATTATTTAATACCTTTTATGATTAACAATAATCTCAACCTCAATTATATATATATTTCATGACAATAAAATAGAATAATCAGTTGATTATCATAATAGTTAACCTTGTTTTATTGGATAAGATTAAGATAGATTGACTGGGAAGTAAGCACTTCATCTTGAATAGATGAATTGACAGCATTGCTTACATTAGCTTAGAAATAAGAGTGTAGTAAAATAGTAACTCTGTTGCAACTTGTTAATTTCTAGGTTATCTTAAAAAATTTGAAGACTAACGATTAAACTGAATGGACCTTAAACACTGAAAATATGGATTCCTAACCGTAGCGAGTTTTATTACAAGGAATAGATTATAACACATCTTTACAATGAAATTCTCAATTATACTGCATATAGAACTACGGAGAAAATTTTTCCACATTATTTAGTACGTATTATCTCTGAATTCATTAATTTATTTTCCAAGTACTTACATTAAATAGTGACACAAGCATTCACAAATTATTTAAATAACGTTATTGTATTGAATATTCTGATCTAAATGTCTTCGGTTCACATTATGAAAGAGTACGAGATTTAAGTGCAACTAGAATGAAATTTGACTCTTATTAGACAGCATATTCACCATTGAATACATTCTACCAAATGATTTTTCTCTATACTTACAGCATAAATAATATACGACTCAATTTATCAACACAAATTTACATTTTTTTTAAAAAATCCATTCTTTACTCAATATAATTAAGAATAGCAAGCAGAAGTTCTATTCCATGCTTTGACCGATAATGATTCTTTAATGAAAAATGTGTGGATACTTTACATATTGAAATCTAGATTTATGACTAGCTATTAAGAATGTGCCAGCCAGAAACAACGTAGAACTCCGTACGTACGTACATTAGTTCGAGTTGCCATACCACATAAGCACAGGGATACAATTGTCAATTCAAATACCGTAGTGGTAGAGGTAGTAAAAGTCTAAGCAGTAATCGGAAAGATCAGGGTTTGAAGATGTTATTCAAAAAAAAAAATAACCCAGTGAAATTTGGAAAGAGAAAAAAACGGACATGAACAATTCAGAAGATTAGAATTTGGGAGAACACAAAGAGTGGATGCACCTGAACCATTGCAAACGATTTTGAGCCGTGTCATTCAGTGTCTAACCATTGGTTGATATCGTCTCGTGGATCCCAACCAGGTAGTCTACACCTACCAACATGGCTCAGTCCAGCTGTCAGTGACTTCACGGACTTGTGCCATGTTTTGGTCTGGCCGTCCCTAGCTTTCTTCCAACCTACTCCTACACCATGAAACATAGCATATCGAGGCAGTCGGTGGTTGGGCATACGTAACACGTGTCCCAGCCATTTTAACTGGTGGAGTTCCACTACTTTATCAATTGATTTGCCATCCGTACCTAGTATCCGTTTCCTAATAACTGAGTTACTTACTCGATGGTCCCAGGATATACGAGCAATGTTTCGAAGACATCTATGATTAAATACTAGCAACCTACAAATATCCTCTACTCTTACCGACCATATTTCACTGTCATAAAGTAGGACGGAACGAACTGCAGCGCAGCAAACACGTCCTTTGGTTGGTAGACGGATATCTCGCCTACGCCATAAATGACGCAAGTTGGCAGAAGCTAGTCGAGCCTTCTGTATCCGTGCTGAGATTTCGTCACACACTAGACCACGAGGGCTGATGAGACTCCTTAGATAAGTGAAGCAGTCAACACGCTCAACTACTTCACTCCCTATCATTAGTTCGGGTGTCGATGCAATCCAATCCTGAAGTAACATTTTGCACTTCGAGGGGAAGAATTGCATCCCGAACATGCCTGCATTGTTGCTTACGGTGGTCAGAAGACTCTGCATTTTGTCAGTGTCTTCACCAAACAGAACTATGTCATCGGCATATTCTAAGTCAACAAGTGAATCTCCCTGTAAAAGTTCAACCCCTGGAAACTATACATTAAGAATGTGTAGTTTAGATATTACTATGTAGTCAGTATTAAGTATCAAGAGTAAAACAAACACTGGATTAATTGATCGAAAATACATTTATTATTTTATTTTAACTAAACTCATGAATCCGTTAAATTTAAGTTGAAGGAATAAACAAGATAATTTAAAAGTGAGAAACCAACTAGAATTAATAGTAAACGATTAGAGGAAATGAAGAAATAATAATAAGAAAACACATACATATAAAGCAAAGCGAATTAATGGAGATATATGTGAAATGTTTGTATCCGAATAACATTGTTCATAATTATATTTTCTTTGACTTTTTATTCACGACATTTTATAAAGCAGATTTACTGAAACTGACACGAATACGCATATTCTCTTCTATGGGATAATCATGCATTGTCTAGAATAAAAAAAGGACAATAAAATTAAAACATTTCTTTTCTTATACAAACAAATAAAATAGATTTGAAAAAAATAAGGAAAATACCGGTAGATTTAATTCTGTTTCACAACGTAAAAATAAATAGGATTGTAAATAAAGCAAGAACAAATATTGATGCAGAATAGTATGAATTCATATTATTTCGAGGTTTCTCGTCAGCTGCTTACAAACCAAAAAATGTGATAGAATTTTTACATTGAGATAGAGTGAAAACAAATGACATAGATGAGTGTAAATAACTGGGTTACAATAATAACTATATATATATATATATATATATATATATATATATATATATATATATATATATATATGCTAGAACAGGTCAGAGGTCAAAAGGAATTAATTCGGGTTGGGTGGTGTAATAATGCAATTGAATAATCATAAGATAGGCTACGTAATAATAATTAAATAGAATATGGAAAGTTAAGATAATTTAGGAGGATCAGGTGGTGGAAATGCGTAAATAATAATGTGGTTTAAGAATTATGTAATAGGGGAGGAATATAAATATTTTAAAGTAAATAAAAATAAAATAATAATAATAATAAAGGGTTACCAGGGTAGTGATAAGCTAATTAACGTCTCTTTTTGAATGCATAAGTCAGGTTTAAGTTTTTTGATCATAATAGCTTCAGCAAAACGGAGGGTGGTCGTATTTCTTTGTCTATTGATAACTTTGAAAGCACGAGGAATGTCGATGGTGTGCCCGGTGTCAAGTAGATGTCGAGCTATTGCACTGTTGAAAGCCCTGGTTCCACGCAGCCTCAAGTTCTTTGGAACGTGCTCAGAAATGCGGACATGCACTCTTCTCTCAGTTCTTCCAATGTATGTGCTTTGGCACGTACATGTAAATTGGTAGATGCAGTTGGAGCTACTAAGAAAAGAGGGCTTGTCGATTTTGGTTTGTTGAAGTGAGCAGTTCGTTTGCCATACTGTCATAAGTTTTGCTGCTGGGTAGGTGACTTTCAACGCAGAGTTTATTCTTTGATTGATTATTCCAGCGATTTCATCACCTTTGAAACGTAAGTGTAAAAAACAGGTTTTTCTTTCTACTCCATCGTATTTTGTATGAGGATTGCTTTTGGCATATTTCTGGATAAATTTCAATGGGTATTCATTATCGCGTAGAACATTAGTAATCAGATTAATTTCATCATTAAGGTATTCTTTTGAACAGATTTTTTGAGCGCGGTCAAAAAGGGTTCGTACAATACCCTTTTTGTAACTCATTGGGCAGAAACTGTGGTAATTGAGATAAAGACCACTCCAGGTATTTTTATGGTGAATATGTCTATGTAATTTACCATCAGATGTTCGTCGGATCCCAACATCGAGGAAATGGAATTTGTCTTCAGCTTCTTGTTCCATAGTAAACTCTATGTCCTCGTGTGCTTTATTAAATAGATCGAGTAGCTTAATGGCGTGATCGTGATTGTTGCAGACTTTTCATATTCTATTTAATTATTATTACGTAGCCTATCTTATGATTATTCAATTGCATTATTACACCACCCAACCCGAATTAATTCCTTTTGACCTCTGACCTGTTCTAGCATATATATATATATATATATATATATATATATATATATATATATAGTTATTATTGTAACCCAGTTATTTACACTCATCTATGTCATTTGTTTTCACTCTATCTCAATGTAAAAATTCTATCACATTTTTTGGTTTGTAAGCAGCTGACGAGAAACCTCGAAATAATATGAATTCATACTATTCTGCATCAATATTTGTTCTTGCTTTATTTAAATTCATAAAGGGAACCAATTGCATGAAATTTTAAAAAGCCGTCTCCCTGACCACATTTTTAAGTCACTCAACCGGTTGGTGGCAGTTCGTTGCAGGATATCGAGAGAAACAACAACATTAAAGTTTCTGTTACGTTGCTTGAATGATGGCTGCTTTACTCGTCATATTATTAAAGCTGTCCGTGCTTGCAAAATACCTCCTTCCTTAAAAAATCTTCGACGCGTCACAAAATCTCAAATTGAATGTACCAAGGAACTTATCTCAAAACTTAAAACAGAATCACTCAGTTATGACAAAATTATTATGGATCTAAACATTGTATGTAGAATCAAACTCATGAATTTCATTCACGATGTTCAGTCCAAAAGCAGTCATAAATTCCTAAAGACATTAACCAAATCACTTGTGAAAGAACAAAAACATAACGCCTTTTCTACGAATCCAGAAAAATGCGTACACAATTTATCCAGTAAAAAACTAACTCGAATTGAAACTGAAGCACTCTCCCTTGGATTTAAATTTCACATTCCGAAAAAATGCAACAGAATAGATACTGAAACCCAGTTTGAGTATTTATATCAACAGTTGTCAGAACTGAAACCCATGAACGATGAAAAACATAGTTGGTTGAAATCGAAACTAGTTGACATTACAAACCAGTACATAACGACACTAACCCCACAATCGAAAGTGTTGACTAAAGATCACCAACTAGCTTTAAAAAAACTTGTGAAAGATGAAACAATAATGCTACTTCGTCCAGATAAGGGTTCCGGTGTAGTCGTTCTTAACAGAGACGAATATATTAGTAAAATAATGTCTACTTTAAATGATTCCACTAGATTTATCATCGATAATACCCAGAAAGATTTAACAGAGACGACAGAGAAGCGACTTGTAAATAAATTGAGAGATCTCCTAAAGAGAAATCTAATAGATAATCATACACACAATGAACTTAAACCTAAAGGATCACAATTACCGTACTTATACGGCCTACCCAAAACTCACAAGCCCAATATCCCGATTAGACCAATATTATCCATGGCCCATTCGCCTTTCCATAAACTCGCCCGCTGGCTGACAAAGTGCCTTGAACCAATACGAAAGAAACTAATACCTTACAGTCTAAAAGATAGTTTTGAATTTGTACAAAAACTCGACAACCTAAATGTTTCCGATAAATGTATGGTTTCATTTGACGTCTCATCGCTCTTCACAAACATCCCCTTGGAAGAAACGATAGAGATCATATGTGATTATCCTGAACTTCTACCCCTACCAATCCATGATTTTAAACAGCTTCTCTTCTTATGTACAAAAAACATACAATTTCAATCCAATAATGTCCTTTACCGCCAAATCGATGGAGTTGCCATGGGTAGCCCATTCGGCCCGATTCTTGCCGATATATTTATGGGAAACCTAGAACAAAAAAAGCTTAAGCACGTAATCGATGGTACAACACTGTATTGCAGATATATTGATGACACATTCCTCGTCTGCAACAATCACGATCACGCCATTAAGCTACTCGATCTATTTAATAAAGCACACGAGGACATAGAGTTTACTATGGAACAAGAAGCTGAAGACAAATTCCATTTCCTCGATGTTGGGATCCGACGAACATCTGATGGTAAATTACATAGACATATTCACCATAAAAATACCTGGAGTGGTCTTTATCTCAATTACCACAGTTTCTGCCCAATGAGTTACAAAAAGGGTATTGTACGAACCCTTTTTGACCGCGCTCAAAAAATCTGTTCAAAAGAATACCTTAATGATGAAATTAATCTGATTACTAATGTTCTACGCGATAATGAATACCCATTGAAATTTATCCAGAAATATGCCAAAAGCAATCCTCATACAAAATACGATGGAGTAGAAAGAAAAACCTGTTTTTTACACTTACGTTTCAAAGGTGATGAAATCGCTGGAATAATCAATCAAAGAATAAACTCTGCGTTGAAAGTCACCTACCCAGCAGCAAAACTTATGACAGTATGGCAAACGAACTGCTCACTTCAACAAACCAAAATCGACAAGCCCTCTTTTCTTAGTAGCTCCAACTGCATCTACCAATTTACATGTACGTGCCAAAGCACATACATTGGAAGAACTGAGAGAAGAGTGCATGTCCGCATTTCTGAGCACGTTCCAAAGAACTTGAGGCTGCGTGGAACCAGGGCTTTCAACAGTGCAATAGCTCGACATCTACTTGACACCGGGCACACCATCGACATTCCTCGTGCTTTCAAAGTTATCAATAGACAAAGAAATACGACCACCCTCCGTTTTGCTGAAGCTATTATGATCAAAAAACTTAAACCTGACTTATGCATTCAAAAAGAGACGTTAATTAGCTTATCACTACCCTGGTAACCCTTTATTATTATTATTATTTTATTTTTATTTACTTTAAAATATTTATATTCCTCCCCTATTACATAATTCTTAAACCACATTATTATTTACGCATTTCCACCACCTGATCCTCCTAAATTATCTTAACTTTCCATATTCTATTTAATTATTATTACGTAGCCTATCTTATGATTATTCAATTGCATTATTACACCACCCAACCCGAATTAATTCCTTTTGACCTCTGACCTGTTCTAGCATATATATATATATATATATATATAGTTATTATTGTAACCCAGTTATTTACACTCATCTATGTCATTTGTTTTCACTCTATCTCAATGTAAAAATTCTATCACATTTTTTGGTTTGTAAGCAGCTGACGAGAAACCTCGAAATAATATGAATTCATACTATTCTGCATCAATATTTGTTCTTGCTTTATTTAAATTCATAAAGGGAACCAATTGCATGAAATAGGATTGTGTCTTGATAAGGTCGACGTACTAAAATAAATAGACAAGTAATTTCGATATTGGATCAAATGAATGGTTAAATTACACAGTACTATACAAATACATATGATTACACGATTACTATGAAATATTCTCAACATAGTTTCGTCAAAATAAGAACTTTTGAAAAAAAGACATACTATATTTTTGGCTCTGTAATTATTTATTTATTTATAAGGTGCGTTTGCAGGGCGATGGGGCTAAGGTACTCTACTTTATACTACTATTACGTTATAGAAAGTTGAATTTCTCTTTAATTAATTTAATTTGATTGATCGAGTAAGTAGTATCAATAGCCCTCTTACAACCCAAAATGTTGCTGAAAGACAAATTCATAAAAATATCTACTAACATGAAAGAAGTTCCACATGGCTTTTCACATAACAACCAAAATATTATTTAATATTTTATCTTGCAGTAGTTTGGAAACATGAACATTCATTATAGTTTTTACTTTAACAAGCAAGAATATTTAGTGTATGTAACAAAAATTAATGTATTATAGTTCATGCAAATATAGCAATAAGCCACTGTTCTAGATAAATAAATACAAAATAGGATATCTAACCTCATATTTTTAATAAAAATGAAATAGACTACTGACAAACTTTTTAGATAGATGTGATTTGTTGAGAATGGACAGCAACGAATTTTACTGAGTTAAAATTACTTACAATTAATGCTGAAACTGCTTCTTCTAAATTTGCAAATTCTATTAAAGCCATTTTCTTATCAGCTCTGGAAAAAATAATGATACAGAATTAAAAAATTACAAAATACCAGATAAGATCTTTGTATTTAGAGATCATAGTATTTGAATTACATCTACCCAATATACTATGATCAACAAATTGATTATGTTTTTCAGTGAATTAAATAAACTATTGAAATGAACATGATTAACAGTTTAACGAATGGTTTATGAAAGTATGTAAGTATGATTTGGATGTATTCTTACAACATCTAATAGACAAATGATGAGATTCCTCATATAGCTTACATGCCATGAGATCACTGAATTAGACGATTTGTAGTAGCACCAGCTATATAAATGCACAGTGACTTTATGGGCAAGAAATTCTAGAGATGACATGACGTTTGAAATGTTACCAAACATCCATTTATAATCGAAGTTAATGATGATTCTGACTTATTTGGACTAAACTTTAAAGAAATGAACAGAAGATACAAATGGTTTTCAGATGTATTCTATGTAAACATTCTGTTATTTTCTTTTTTTATCATTACGAAAAAAGTTGCAACCATCAGTCAGTCAGTTACAACGTAGGACCAGGCACATATATGCATCGGTTCAAGTTGCCATACCTCATTAGCACAGCAAGACGAACACCGGATTCATAGAAGCCGTTAACTCAATGGTGTAATATATAAAGGAAAGATTACATATAAGGATATAGTACAGGAAAAAAATTAGTCCGTAGAAAGAAAGATATGAAATAATTTTAGTCTCATAGTTTAAATGAAGACAGAGAGTGTATACACCTACGCCATTATGAACGATTCTGAGCCATGTCACCTACAGTCTCCAACCATTGGTTACGATAGTCACACGGAACCCAACCACGAACTCTGCATCTACCAACACGGCTCAGAACACAAGTTAGTGACTTCGAGCACTGATGCCACGTTTTCGTTTATTTATTTCAACACAAAGATATTGGTACAGAGGCACCAAATATATATGCGCCACACAAATCTCATTCGATATGTGTGAGGGCTGTGATACTGCACGGGTGCCCAAACCGAAACAGGTGGTTATCTTAGGGGGTCACACCCCGAGCCTTCGACCTGAAGGTCTGATCCACAAGGCAGTGGAGCATCGTAAAGAGATGCAGTCCCATGGAAGCCGGTGACCAACAATTGGTTCATACGCCATTTGTTCCCTCAGGATACTGGAGCCCATGTGCACCATCGTTTGGAATCCGGTTAAAGCGCCGGACATTCGCTTTTCGTCCTCTTAATTTCGTAAACAACACCCCCACCACGAGAAGGCAGTGAGTAGGACTTCCCTGACAGAGGCTATATACGCGTGGCCGTGTGAGAGCATTTCGAGAGGGAGAGCGGACTCTCTTCACTCTCGGCCGTACCAGGGCATTTGTGGGCATTGCGCGTCGTGGTAATCGGTGTTCATTCATACGTAACACGTGGTCCAACCATCTCAGTCGATGAAGACACACAACCTCATCAACCGATTTACCATCATTTCCTAATACCCTGCGCCTATCCTCACTATTACTAATCCGCTGATCCCAGCAATATTTCTAAGGCATCTGTGGTCAAATACTAGTAGCTTACGAGTATCTTCTACTCTTAATGGTCACGTTTCGCAGTAGAACAGAACGAACTATTGCGCAATAAACTCGTCCCTTAATTGATAGACAGATATCTCGCCTTCGACATAGATGACGTAAGTTGGCAAAAGCCAGACGAGCTTTTCGAATCCATCCCGAGATTTCGTCAGGCACCAACCCATTAGGGATGATCAGACTTCCAAGATAAGTGAAGTTGTCAACGCGTTCGACTACTTCACTCCGTCCTTAGTTCAGGTGTTGACGCAGACCAGTCCTGAAGCAACAACTTGCATTTAGAGGGAGAGAAGCGCATTCCAAACATTCTGGCATTGTTGCTCAGTGCTACCAAAAGACTCTGCATTTTATCAGCGTCTTCACCAAACACGACTATGTCATATGCGTATTCTAAGCCGATAAGTGGACCTCCTGGTAGGAGATCAATACTCGAGAATTCAGTCGACGAGAACGTTATTTCCATCAGTAGGTCTATGATGAAATTGAACAAAAATAGAGAAAGTGGACAGCCTTGATGGACACCACTCAAGGTTGCAAAAACAGATGACAGTTCACCATAAGCTCTGACTCCACTACTGGTGTTCGAGTAAAGAGCCTTCACAAGGTTTATGTACTTCTGAGGTACTCCTTTCAATGAAAGACGCTGCCACAGAACCTCTCGGTCTACAGAGTCAAATGCTGTTTTCAAGTCAAGAAAGGCCACCATTGTCGGACACCGACAAGCATGTCTGTGTTCTAAAAGCTGACGAATGGTGAATATGTGGTCAATGCAGCCACGATCACGTCTCAAGCAAGTCTGACTTTCTCGTGTTTCCAGTTCACGAGTCTTTATTAGGCGTCCGATAATTATTGACGCTAGTATTTTAGATGCTATATTAGTCAAACTAATACCTCTATGGTTATCACAAGATGATTTTGACCCATTCTTATATATTGGGACAATCAGTGATTGAGATCAGTCAGATGAGATCACGTCCGATCTCCAGGTTTTAGATAAAATATTAATCAACCTGATCGCTAAAACTGGACCACTATACTTAGAGACATATGGAGTCAATCCATCTGCACCTGCTGCTCTTCCTCGTTTCAGATTAACTACAGCCTTGTGAACTTCAGATAGAGTAGGGGGACATACTTCAATGTTCCATTCAAGCTATCTGGGAATGGTCGGTAGTTGGAGAGTAGCTGAAGACCAGTTGTACTGCTCCTTAAAGTGTTCCGTCCATCGTTCTAAACGTCTGGGCTGAGAGCAGATAATAGTGTCGTCTTTTTCCCAGGTCGTTTCACTAACATTTGACTTCTTAATTCGTTTCTTTTATTTCTCTGTAGAGCTGTCTGGTGTTACTTACAGCCGCCACCTTTTCCACCTCTTTTGCTTCCGATGCACACCACCACTGCTCACGGTCGTTCCTTAGACTTTTGCTTAACCTGGATCTGGTTTGTTTTCGCTCTTTATCGTGTCCAGAGCCTGACGGGATGAGTTTACGAGAATCAGTGCATATAAGAAATCCATTGGTTTTTTGTAATCCTTTGGTTTAAATCACTAATAGATGTCACTGCTGTTTCCAAAGCTGTTTGTATATCTTTCCAAGCAACATCTGGGTCAGCCTCGTTTTCAGAAATACCTAAATGTGACCTCAGTTGTTCCTGGAATCTATTTTCGGCATTCTCATCACTTAGTTTAATTCTAACGGATCTTCTTCGTGTGGCTTTCCTGCGTCCAGTGAGACGCAAGCAGACACGTGCCCATATAAGAGCATGATCAGAGTCCAAACAGGTATTCCAGAACGAGCGACAATCTTCCATCGACCCTCTTCAATGATGACTGATGGCAATATGATCTATTTGAGTCCATCGTTGGTATGGTGCAGGGGGTCGTCATGTTAGACTATGTCTCTCCTTATGACTAAAATAAGTGTTTGCACAGTTGCAGCAGACGATTGCCATTACTTGTTCACTGAGCCGGAATATTAAAATACCCACCTAAATGTCTTTCTGTTTGGTTTAAGCTACCTACTTGGGCATTAAAGTCACCTCCTACGAGAACTATGTCTGAGCGTTTAGCTTTGTGAAGTAGTTCAGAAAGCTTTCTGTAAAAGTCATCTTTCACTTCATCTGAGCTGCAGTCGGTGGGAGCGTAGGCAGAAACGACAAAAAAGCAACGACGTGTGTCTCTATCCTTCCGAGTTCTTACGGAGCCGTTTAGCCGAACAGCACATAAACGACTGTTAACGGGGATCCACTCTAACAGTGCTTGTTCCGCCCTCATGCTTAATGTTATGGTGACATTTGAGGAGGAAGCCGAAAAAGGAAGTTTAGAGGTGAAAGTCGATGTAGGAGGAATAATAGGAAATGAAGACGGAGGTTGATTATGAATACAGTGGTCTTGAGTGCTGTTAGAGATGTCAGGGTGGTTATCACTTCCCGGTTGCCCACACCGTGGAAGGGTTGTTCTGGAGGTGCCTGAAGAGGAAATTGGATTAGAGGTGGTCTTAATGACCTGAGAGCGTGATTGCAGTGCCCAAGGGACAACTGCTTGAGGTTGTTCACACAATTTTCGTGTTAGCTCCGTACTTGTTGAGACTTTACCGCCGGAGACGGATATCCATGGGATAAAGTGAGGTGTGCATTTTTAGGGTCGATCTTTTCTACCCCTACCCCTCCTTGTGGGAAGGCATCATCGCTGTCATGCTGGTTGTCTGAAGGAAACACCTTACTACCGTCACGCCTCTGTACAGTCAGCAGTACGAGTTCGCCTTCGGACCTTGGGTTTGTTGCTTTTAGTCTTACTGTTCTTCAACCGACCTGTCTGGCATGGTAGGACCTTGAGGAACGATTGTTCAGCCAGTACAGCTCGATTGCTTTATCACGATAGGCAAGCCCGACCACCACGTCAAGGTAACAACAACGGTCGTGGTTTGGGGGGATTGGTTTAATTTGTAGATTGAGTACTATCATATACCAGGGAAACCAGTTGTCCGGTACTTTTTAATTCTCAATGGTGCCTCAACTGAGATCAATCTGTGATAAATAGAGACCTACTAAAATTTCTTTTTTATTTCAGGGTTTTAATTGTCAACCATGAGAAAAGGTTTGACAGCGTGGACAGGAGAACCTTATGAAACCTTCTTCGACACTATGGTGTGCCTGAGAAAATCGTCAACATCATCCGGAATTCATACAACAGACCACACCGCAAAGTCGTGCACGGAGGACAGCTGACAAACGCATCCCAATTAAGGACCGGAGTTAGACAAGGATGCTTACTTTCCCCCCTTTCTCTTTTTTCTGGGAGTTGATTGGATTATGAAGACCTCCACATCTGAGGGGAAGAACGGAATACGATGAACAGCTTGCATGAAGCTAGATGATTTGGACTTGGCAGATGACTTAGCTCTTGTATACCATGCACAAGTGCCAATGCAGGTAAAATAGTCAGTGTAGGATCATGGAATGCTACATAGAGAGCACCAACAAAATCACACTTGGTAGAGAAGTTTTGGAAGGAGTCGAAATCTCCATATACCTGGCCAGCATTATTAATAAACAACGACAATCTGAAGGCGCAGACTGGTAAAGCAAAGACAGCAATTCTGCAATTGAAGAACATATGCAACTCAAAACAACTATCACCCAGCACCCAAGTCGGAGTTTTTAATACACACACCAAGACAGTTCTACTGTACGGAGCTAAAACTTAGAGAACTACCACAAACATCATCAATGATGTACAGGTGTTTATAAACAGTTGTCTACGCTAAATACTAAATGTCCCTTGACCGGATACCATCAGCAACAGCTTACTATGGGAGAGAACAAACCATCTTCCAGCTGAGGAAATAAGGAAACGACACTGGAAGTGAATAAGGACACACATTGATGAAATCATCAAACTGCATCACGAAGCAAGCGCTAACTTGGAACCCTGAAAGAAAGCGGAAAAGAGGGAGACCAAAGAACACACTGAACCGAGAATTGCAAATAGACATCAAAAATACGAATAGCAACCAGAAACAACAGGAAAGGATCACCCAGGACAGAGTTGGATGGAGAATTCTAGTGGGCGGCCTATGCTCCTCCACAAAGCGTAACAGGCGTAATTAAGAAGTAATCAACTAAAAACTAACTATCATTACGAAAGACCATAATTCATTGTCATTACTACTATCATCCTCATCATTACCATTATACCAAATTAGTATGTTTTTTTAAATATTGGAAACTATAAATAACTTGATAATTACTGAAGAACAGCTTTGAGGTTAATGGTTTTTCATGCAATCTGCCTTCTTGTATTTATGAATTCTGGATTAGTTACTTCATTGATGGAGAAAATTTAAACCGATATTAAGAAGCTGTAATAGATATTTGTTTCTTTTTTCTTTTACAAATTTCTGGGTCAATCAATCAGTCATAAGTAATGTAGAATCCAGTTTATATGTGGATCAGATCAAGTTGTCATATAATTTTAGCACAGCGACATAAAATCATTTTCTTATACATAGGATAGTTTTTGATGAAACATATCGATTTATTCAGATTGTTTTTTGTTGACTTCATAATGTCGCTACTACACATCATATTGTAATCAATTGTAGTGCATCAAATATTTTTTTTAAATGGACAGAAATTTCACTATATCTTACTTGAAAGATTTGATTCGTGTGACATGATAATCGGTACCATTTTCAAATACACTTTTTAAACTGTCGTCATCGATTGAGTCCGGTAAATTGGTAACATGTAATACTTTGGATGGAGCGCATATATTGAAATGATTACGAGAGTTGACACGTTTAAATCTATGCAATTTATGCCCAGTATAATCACATGTAGTTTTTATGTCATTTTCACCGTCAGATGTAGGATTTTGTAAACTGGTGTGTGGCATGGTAACAGTTGAATTTTTCGAAAGAACACAATGTATGGTTTTACCATACAATGGGACACCGTTTAAAAAATTCACAGCTGAAAAAAATAATGTAGGTGAGATAATTTAGCAGTGATCACTAACCGATATTACAAAAAAAGGATTACGGGAATTAAATCCGTCTCTAGAAGCAGGACAATAACTTAGTGCGAAACGAATACAGTATTGTATTTCAAATGTATGCAAACAATTGGTGGTTTTTATTCAATGCTATTATTTTACATTATATATCTTTGTGAAGAAAAGTGTGAGTCATTGGAAAGTAGGAAACTATGTTGTAGAAAATGAGAACTTTTTTAAAAATCTCCCCGGGATATCCGGATAGTAAAATATGAATAACAGATTTTAAGTGGAGAATTTCATAATATCTAATCATTTAACTATTTCGTGTAAAAATTCGCTCAACTGGATGGGCAGTTGAAATGTAAGGCACTGATTGTGATATTATGGAAGGTCCTGTGGGAGCCTAATTGAAGTTATAGATTAAGATAAAACGGCTATTTAGTGTTATTCGCCTTTCAATGGTTCACCAGATGCCGAGGCAATTCTGTGATAAAGACCATTTCGTAGGTCAACCATAAACCGCATAGAACCCGGCACATACGTGCATTGGTTCAAGTTACCATATCATCATATCAAAATATACGATCTAGCTGACTAACCATTTGACAAAATGAATTATAATTATGACAATTGAGTAATTTTGTCAAAATATTTATGTGAGTGAAAACTTTGTGAATTTATGTTACTTGAGAGCTTATGTTTAGCAAATCCAGAGAAGAACAGAAATTTTTTATTCAGTCGTTGGAATAATGTATACTTTATCTAAAATTCAAATTATTCCTTAGAAAGGAAGAACTGAACACTTATTCGATGAAAATCTAAACGGTGAATACTTAAAAAAACAGCATTTGATGCTTTATGGGAAACATGCATTAAATTCGAAAAATCCGAAGATTTCCCTTAACATAAAGAAATACATAATACTGACGAAAAACCAACAATATTTATATACTGATGCAGTTATTTTTTACATTGGGATTCTTACATTTGCCAACTTAGTGAGAACAAGTGCAAGTTTACGCATAGTCGGAGCTTTAAGTTCCATTTATATGGTATTTGAGAGCTAGTGATGCTACTTAAACGATCGAACTGTTTAACAAGTGCAGTGGGGACTTGAACCTCTATGCTAAGAGTTGGAAATCGAATGTTTTAATTATTAACTTATAGCTTTTAATTTTTAAATAAATAATTAATTTCAAAATTCGAAATTATAAAAAAAACTAAAGAACATTCTGGACATGCACATTGTACCATGTAGAATATGTTATCTTTGAACAATGATTAGAACTCCATTCGCATGTAATACTCATTTGCAAAGTTATTTATTAAGCTTTATGGAATATCATTAGAAAAATCATGCATACCAGTATGCGTTCTGTTACATTTAGTAAGAGTTTCTTTCTATGATTGAAGTTAATGTAAAATCTGACAAATTCAATAGTCAGTAGTCAGATAGTATAACCTTCACCAAGGTCCATCGCAAAAAATAAAATCAACAGAATAAATAAATAGTAATAAATTAAATAATTAACCTCGAAGTGCTTGATTAGCATCTGTGAATTGAACCAGGGCGGTGCTTCTTTTATTGTGCAGGATTTTTACACGTTGCACATCCCCGTAAACACCTTAACAAAATTCAAAGTGATGTACGCAAAAAATCAAATATGTATAAGGCATAAAAAGGTTAATTTTTAATGGATGGGAAAAAGATATAAAATATAAAATACCTAAACACAATTTGATAATCTGTATGAAGATACTACATAAATTCCAAAATTCTTCCTATCAAACAAACATATATCTGAATAGTGTGGTAAATGGAAAAGCAACACACATCCTGATTATATTCATAGCAATTTAATGCGACGCAATACTCATACGCATAATAGAACCAATTTGATCAGTATTGCTACACCAAACACAACATATATTGGAGTTTCCATACAAACTATTCTTTTAGCTAGTTTAATGAGATTTTTTCTTGTTTTACAAATTATAAACTATGAATTGTAGCCAAATTTACAGTTCACTTATCAATTATAATCAAAACAATACTTTAGTCATTTAAAAAAATGACCCTAATTAAGGTCCACATAAGCATACATATATATGGAGGCAGGATAATCTTACCAAAAAGTATGAACAATGTATCCGGATTGACTTTCTTTTGCAGGATGATGATGATAGTAATGATAGATGGATATAGAAATGGACCATGAACAGATGGAGAGAAATGTTTTGTAGGATAGCCATAGGAGATCATATATATAAAGTGAGATATATACATATACATACATAAAGATATGGAGGGAGAGAAAGAGACAAAGACAGATAGCAGTTGTTATATATGTATATTTTTATACAGAGAGTAAGTTAGTGAAAGCAAGGGAAAGTTATATGATGTAGAGAACAGTGTATCTATCGCAACCTTGTGTGACTAATTAGTGCTTACATTTGAGCTAATTTGGAAATGGAAAGATATATTTAAATATGGGTAATATGACAAATCAGAGTACTTTTATCTTGCTTAAAGGGAAAACAATACAAGTACTTCAGATTAATGAGGATGGGGATCTCTGTGGTAAAATAAATTAAGCATATGGGTTTCGTTGAGAAGCTGCCAAACAAACAAGGCACCGACCACATATCGATCAAATTATTCAGCTAACAGCAACGATAACAACACTACATCTTTTCATACTATGTAAATACATAAGGAAATAATACTCGTCAACAAATGAAAAAGAGTAACAATACATTACTAATGAAGCAAGTTGTTAAACTTGGCAAATTTGCATTTAGAAGAGATAAGTAGAAAAGTATCAAATATCTGGGTATATAGAATTAAGGAAGCATTTACAGGGTAGTGTTGTCCATTTTATTGATTATACAAACTAAATTATCTTTGTATTATGGCTTTACGGCATAACGAAAGTATGTACACCCTTGAATGGAAAATCCAGACTTATTTAACCTTTAATTGAGTGTTACGTAGTTCATGGAATATTAAAGCTTATCAAATGTTCTACATGGTATGTTTCCAACAATAAAAAAGATAAATAAATACTCAATAATAAGAACATTAACTCACCTCAGTATTTAAATTCGATACAAAAGCAACCGGTGAGAAAGGAACTGAATGTCCTGTAAGATGAGAAGTTTCTTTAGCCGGTAGATTTGGAATCAAAGGCCAAGGTAATGAATCATGATTTCTATTTTCAGATATCAGAGAGGTAAGACTAGACAGTGTTGTTGCTTGTGCCCTCAACAGATTAGCTTGTGGACCAGATATACTTGCGGCTACTTTCACTATAAAAAGTAAACAGAAAGTTAGGAAAACATGCAGTTAATTGTAGATCAGAGAAAGAATGAAATGACTTACATATTACTCATATATGCCTGTTACTCCCAGTGGGGCTTAGTCTGCCGACCAGTATTCTCCAACACAATCTGTCCTGAACCTTCCTTCCTAGTTCTATCTAATTGTTCTCCATTCTTCTCATGTCTGTCTCCATTTCTCAGTCTAATGTGTTCTTTGGTCTTCCTCTTCTCCTTTGGCCTTGAGGATTCCAAGTGAGGGCTTGCCTTGTGATGTAGTTGGATGCTTCCCTCAATCTGTGTCCTATCCACTCCCAGCACTTCTTCCTCTACTGGGATCTGGTTTGTTCTCTCCCATAGTAGGTTGTTGCTGACAGTGTCTGGCCAACGGATCCGAAGTATTTTACACAGACAATTGTTAATAAACAATGGTATCTTCTGGATGATGGCTTTCGTAGTTCTCTAAGTTTCCGCTCCATACAGTAGAACTGTCTTGACATTTGTATTGAAAATTCTGACTTTGGTGTTGATTGACAGTTGTTTTGAGTTCCAGATGTTCTTCAATTGTAGAGATGCTGCTCTTGCTTTGTCGATCCGCGCCCTCACTTACATATAAAACTCCTTTAATTAAGACGATACGATTTAATCTTAAAGATGAGTGATTTTTATTGTAAGAATTCTTAGCTAGTAAGCTCATATACATATAACAGTGAATTGTAGGATAAATTAAAATGTAAGCTAAACATGTGAAAACAAAAGATGAATATGGATATGTTTAGACAATAATGAAACATTCTAACTATTACTAAGGTGAGACTTTCATAATCTCAGTAAGATGTTAGATACCGATAAACCAAATATAAATTCGTAACAAATGAGCGCTGGAATCATTGGAATTAAACCGTATCACATGTCGTTATTTAGGTATATCGAGTATTATTTACTGGGCGAAAACATTGTCAATTTGACAAGCATCAAATAAATTGGAATGAAAATACTATGCGCTAGTAAAGAAAGCATCCTTTATCAAGGTTACTCTACTACTCTTAAAACCTTAATTCTGAACACGTCCAAAACCGTTATTCATTAAAATGAATCACTATTTCAAGTTGATAATTGTTAACATACGTAATTGAAAGGATTCTCCAGAAGTCGTTTAATTTATTTAGTTAAAGTACATAGGTACCATAATTGATACATACGAAACAAGCCCAAATCAAAAAAGTTGAAAAAACAGCTCAAAATATCGTGATATTTTGTTACACTTCAACCAAAATGTAGAATGTATAGTGATTGGTTTAATGAATCACTATTATGCTTTCTGTCAGAATGATCGATTCCAAATGATTCTAACATGCTAGCTAGTTGTTTATAACCAGTCCGAATTTGTGGCTAGTTCCAGATGATATTAGGAATTTCCCAGATATCTTCTATAGAAACACATTTTTTACCTTTGTATGTTGGTCCAATATCGGACTTGTACAAATATTTCACGATAAACGGTAGTACATATTAAACTCTATAACAATAAAACAAAACGACATTGTTAAACGATAGAAAACATACATAACGGTTTGATAAGTCGATTAGCCAAAACACTTAAAAATACTGGATCCATAGTTGATAATTTTTCTTCACTAAAATCATCCCATTCATCTTTGACAGAAGGAAGAAAAGCGTGGAAATTTTTGGTCCCATTTACTACACTTGATGATATGTGATTATGATTCAACTCATCTGATTCGTTCCATGGATTTTGAATAAAATCTCTACAACTATTATCTTCTCGGTGAATTTCTAAAGTTGGTTGCCTTGAAAATTCAGTACGAAGAATGTTAAAATTACTCTCCATAGGAAATAACGGTACACCATTCATTTGCTAATATTTATGACAGGATAAGAATGTATTGAACATTACGATGTGTAAACAACCAAAAATTTAATTTGTTAGATAGAATGTTATTTAACAGTAAAAATTAATTAATATAAGTAGTAAAACATATCTATTGAACATGCAGTGCGCTGGGAAGGTCATAAATTATCTAGCTGTTTCATTTTGTAATAATAAAGGTGTTTTCTTTTGAGATTTATTTGACTGAATCTACTGTAAATTCTAGTCATGAACGATCAAGATTTTCCTAATATAAAAGACAACTAACGTGAACTCGACAATACGGCAACTGATAAATACAACCTTTCAACAGTAATATTCAAGCGATAAAATCCAAGAAGGCAGGAATGAAAAAGTCTTGATATTCGACGAGAACAAAATTGAAATCGAACAACTCTGTGTATATAGCATCAAAGCATGAACTTAGGGTAGAGGAAAATTAGTAAACTAATGGTCGTATCAAACGACCAGAAAAAAGTGCAGGTCGGATAGAAATATAGATTAACAAAAATGTACTCGAAGTTATCTTTACAAGAAAGAATGAATATTTATTAATAAAAATTAGATAGTCTGTAATATCCCTGGAGAAATGATAGATCAAACGTGCACACATTTGGGAGCATGTTAAATTTATATTATTCCATTAGCGTTCACTATTATTTGATTTCTTGCTATTGAATTTAATTTGCTGATTCTACAATCAAAAGGTCATAATCGTTGCTACATAAACAGGGTTGCTCTAATACAGTTTTGAATTCTGTTGGGAAATAAAAAAGCTTTCTTGAGGGACTCGTTTTCTTCCTCTCTCTAGCTCTCCCTTATTCACATGTAGATTACTAGCGTTGAAATGATATGGTATATTAGTGATTTAACCTATCTGGTTAGCACATCCAGTTTTTGCACTAAAAAAGCTCGTAATCGTTCGTAATTACTAGAAACTATTGAAAATTATTACTGAATCACAACAAATGAGTCTTTTGGTGAGGGACTGGACAACTCTTTCGTCCCAGTTTGAGATGCCTCAGTGGTATACATTCAAAACTTCAAATCCTGAACATAGAAATTTTATGGATATTCACTATAATACCAGTGAGTTGGCATTTAAACGTTCAGTTTTAATTTAAGTTGATCCATGACATTGCAAAACAATCATCCTTTGACCCAAGCAATGACACCTTTGTCACTCAATCAGCCAAGACTTCTCATTAGAACTCTTGGGATTTCTTTATGAAGTTGGTCATTAGTAAACATAAGATTATAAGTAGAAAGAGGTTTGCTGAGATTCTTTTTGACTTGTAGTTTACATCACGGACTGACCAGAACTAGATAGTTTTTGATTGTTACTTCGTATAGTGTGTAACAATATACTGGCGGTTTTCACAACATTTAGAGAAACTAGATTATTGTAACATGTAAAAAAATGATTCTCGTCAATTGAATCTTTACTGTAATTCTTGAAATAAAGCTGGGTACGAAACAGTAATATAACAGGAAGTAGATTTCGTTAGAATGCTGTATACGATATAACAAGGAAAACTCATTGTTAGAGATTCTACATACGGTAAAATTTAAAGTATGAATGGGTGTAAATAAATAGGTACAGCCAATTTTTATATAAAACAATACACATTATGTCATAAGTGTGTATCAATAGTAAAGATGATATGCATAAATCATAAGATAATTCTTGAAAAACAACCCACTCACTAATTTAGCAACATGAGCTGATATAGTATTGCTGTATTCTAAAAATGCATGACGTGAGTCGTTTTTCTTGAATGATATCACACGTAGAATTTGTCCGAACGGTTTAAAAGCCTAAAAGTATAATGCATTTGTCGATTAAATCAACTGAAATAATTAAACTAGTGGTAATAGAATAATAAAGCAAAAGAATGTGAGACGAAAAAACCCCGAAAGTAACTAAGAATGAAATAAACTCGTTTATTTGCGACTTTAAAAGTTTGTATGAGTAAACTACATGAATAATTGATTAGCAATGAAGCAAACTGATATAGAAACGACTATAAATAGTGAGTTCAACATTCAATATACAATCTACCTAAAATGAAACTCGGTTTAAATAGTGTTTCTTTTTAAATATGTCTACAGAAGTCGATAAAAAATGTCAAAAGTTATTAGTTGACTACTGGTTTAAAAAACTTCCCAGGTCACCTTTTATTCGTTTTCCTATCTGAGTGGACCTACGCATAAGATATCGAATTTGCTATCCCCTGTCAATGGCAACCAGCACAGAGGTCAGCTTAAACTAACTATGTGTCAGCCCTGGTCATCGTATCACATTAGTACAGTGAGGAGAATTGAGAAGGAGCTATTATATTAACGGTATTAGTAACAGTGAAATATTGAAAATGTACCGAAAAGGTGTGTATGAAGAGACATTGAGATCGAAGATCTAAAGAGGAAACGAAAAGTGAATAGATTTGTACGGTGGATGAACATAGGTAACAAGTGTTCCAGCTTTACTTACAATGCTTGTGAATTAAGGCAATATTGACGCAATGCGCATATATGACAGTAAAGACTGATCAGTTGCAGTTCTACACATCAACGTGAAGATTCAACTAAACAATAACAAGTGACAGATATTTCCCATATAAACATTAAAAATAAAAAGCACGAAGTTCAGCGAAGGGATACCTTTTCAACGAATTTATTGTCAAGATGTACAATCGTAGATATATGAAGTTTTTTGTTAAAGTACTAATTCCGTGAGGAAATGTGAACACAACCAAGATAATGTAATAGAAAGATTATAATACTAGATTACGTAATACGAACAATAATAATAGATTTAGTGAATGTAATAAGATGACTAGAATGTTTTTGTTACAATAGTTAAAGGTCACAGAGGTGTAAAAATAAGGTGATATGATGAGTATTTATAAATAAAATAATGAGAATATAAGGCATAAGTAAAGGGGAATGCAGTAACAATAATAATAATAATAATAATAATAATAATAATAATAATAATAATAATAATAATAATAATAATAATAAAGGCCAAGGTAACGATAAGATGTACTTCTTTGTACGCATAGTTTTGGTTTGAGCTTATGGATGGTAAGAGCTTCGGCTATTTTTAGGAGTTGGATAAGAAGAAATCTAGGTAGATTTGAACGAATAATATAAACAACCTTAAAATCAAACTATGGATCCGTAGAATGATTACAGTCGATTAGGTGTTCAAGTATAGAATTCCTAAGTGCTTTTCTTTCACCCTTGTAGAACCAAACTGGGACATGTTCCCGTATCCAAGTTGAAAGCGAGCGCCGGCTACGGCCAATGTACCTTGCTCCACAAGAGCAGGTGAACTGGTAGGTGCACATGGAGGCGACCAGACACGGAATCTTATCTTTTTGGATACAGAAAATAAGTTCCTACTAGAGAAGGTTATTCGCAGTTTTGCCGCATTAAATGTTCTTTTAATCACCTGCTTCGGTCTAGGCACCCGGGCAGTATCACAGCCAACACACAAATATGATGAACTGCCTATAATTATGGAAACTACTTTACTTGCTTCAACTAATAATCAAATGATTATTATTATTATTATTATTATTATTATTATTATTATTATTATTATTACTATTATTTACCACATTATTCACCCTCTTTTATACTTATACAGCGGCTCGTCTTTGGTGGAAATTCGACTGTATCTAAACCTTCTCGAGTCACTGTCCGGTTGAAAATTGTATGTTACCACTGAATATGAGTACTGAAGCAGTTTTTCTGAAACTACGTGCACCATTCAAACTGGCTGCCTTTAACGTTCGCACACTTATGCAGGTTGAACAACAGATAGGGCTGGCTATGTCTTTGGAAAGTCTTAATATCGATGTCTGCTGTCTATCCGAGACCCGTATTCAAGACTCTGGTGAAGTACTACAAATTCGCTCTCCATCTGTCGCTTCGAAAAGCTTGTTTTACGTGCGTCTATCCGGGGACCCTGTGGCATCTTCGACTGGTCTTGCTGGCGTTGGTGTCGCCCTAAGCGCTAGAGCTGAGGCAGCACTAATCGATTGGATCCCCATTAACAGTCGGTTATGTGCTGTTAGATCAGAGAGTTCCATCAAAGTGAGAAATCGACGTGAGAAACGATGTCTTTTCGTCATCTCCGCCTATGCCCCGACAGATTGCAGCCCGGATGCAATCAAGGATGAGTTTTACCACCAGTTATCTGTTCTTCTCCAGAAAGTGCGTTCGGCAGATATTGTAGTACTAGCCGGGGACTTGAATGCTCAGGTCGGGCGTCTAGGCACAGAAGAGGGTCGTTTAGGTGGCCGATGGGGACTCGTTGGCCGCAGGTCAGATAACGGGGACCGTCTACTGCAACTGTGCACAGACCACAACCTGTTTCTGGCTAGCACTAACTTTCGGCACAATCATCACCGATGTGCCACCTGGCGTCCTCCCTCTGCATCTCAAGCCTGGACTCAGATTGATCACATCGCGATCAGCTACCGCTGGCGTGGTTGTGTACAAGACTGCCGCTCCTTTTGGAGTACCTATCTGGACTTTGACCATGCCTTGGTCTGCGCCAATCTTGCCTTACTTTTCAGTGGCCAACGAAGTGACCACCATCAAAAGATTGGTGTTAGCAAGCTGGTTGCAACTTCTGTTGCTAGTAAGTATCGAACCGAGCTAGCCTCTAGGCTAGCTACCATTCCACCGAAAAGTATAGATGAGCATTGGTCGCAATTGCATGACGCCATGAAAATGGCGGGTACAGTCAGTTGTGGGTTCGCGAAACGTCCCGCTTATAAGCACTGGGTTTCTGCAGGTTCCTTACAACTCATTGAAGCCCGTCGGTCTACTCCGGGTGACCGTGAGTTTGACCATAAACGAAGGATGTTACGCAATGAAATTGGGCAAAGCTTGCATAAGGACCGAGAAGCCTGGTGGTCGATGCGTGCTAATGAGTTGGAAGCATCAGCTGCATCTGGTAATTACCGGAAGCTCTTCCAGCTCATCCGAGGCACTGGCAGCAAGAAGTCTGGTGTGAGTGAAACAATCTGCGAGGATGATGGGATGCCAATCACTAACATCCATCGACGTCTTGGACAATGGGCAGAATTTTTTGAAGGGCAGTTCAACTGGCCTGCTGCCCCGGCAACATCGGTCAGACTGTCCTGCTCTCCATGGCCGGTGACGACTGATCCACCAAATGAGGCGGAAGTCCGCAAGGAACTCCAACTCTTGAAGCGTTACAAATTACCTGGCCCAGATGACTTACCTCCAGCTCTTTTTAAAGATGATGGTGACTCTGACTAAGGAATTGACGACGCGGAGAGGTGGTCAGTGCATGACATGGTGTCGTGGCATGAAAGAAAGCGGCAAATGACTGGCTTCTGTTGGTCCTTCACGACTCCCTGGTTGGGGTCCGAGAGATGGTGCTACACAGTGGCTTGAGACGTTATCAGATATGGCTCAGAATAGAAGCCAGTGGCGATCCTGCTGTAACCTTCTTTTACTTTCTTCATAAAAAGTGGTTGTGTCTCCCTTAACTGAAAGATTTCTTCTGATTGTACCTTTCCGTTCCCTCATTATTACTACACTACCTTACACCAATCTCTTCGTTGTTGTTCTTTTTTTACGCTCCTTACCTTTTTTTCTCTTCGAATTCTCATTGTTTTGTGTGGCGCATATATATTGGCGCTCTCTTGTACCAATATTTATGTGTTCAAATAAATAAATAATAAATAAAAACCAGTTAGGCGAATCCGCAGACACAAGTGGCAGATATCGCAAAGGCGTTTTAAGAAACAAAGTAGAACATACCATAAAGAATGGAAGATAACCGATTTCCATGGAACCGTGTAACTTTTCGATGTGAATATGCAGAACAGTTTTAGGAGAATCTTCATTTTCGCATTGAAACGTTACAAACTGTTTATTAGCTTCCTCGACAGCAGATGTAGCAGCATTATTAGTCATTGCGTTAGTGAGAGAAGAATATTTACTAAACTGCACTTCTAGGGGATACTTTCCACGTAAAACCGGAGGACATATGGCTGTATAGTAGCCAAACATAGATTCTGCTGACTCCAAAGTATCCATTTCAATTAAAGCCTGTAATAATAAGGTTGGAGGTTAAGAAAATTAGATTGTAGCTGAGGTATTTGCATAATAGAGGAAACAATATTTTAGTTTTACTGAATATCTTTACTGATGGAATAAAACAATTTCCTCACATTAACAGGTCATTGGAAACATATTAGGTAAGATCAATACTTATTTAATAGATTCAACTCATTCAGCGGTCATAACATCAATATAAGCTTTCGGTGAAACTTTTCTGTAGTACATCCTAAAATTATGTTGTGTGAGGGTGGCACGGCAGTCATTATGATAAAACTTGGTCAGTAACTATTTGACTATAGAATAATGAATGTGTAATCTGCCTTATTCATAACGATTATTTTAAGACTTTACAATTGACAATCCAATCAAACTGTTACCATTTGAGCGCGGAATTCCCAAAAATATCACTTCCAAGCTTTGACACATATCGTTTTATTTGAACAGTGAAAAATTGGAATGGGAAATTAATTTCAAGAAGTTACTAAAAAGGAAGACATTTCAGTAAAAACACATCTTTATATGGATCAATAATTAGTTAAGTATCTATTATATATGCTTCTTATCACTTGTTACTTTATATCATCCATTCACTTTCATATCGCCTTTCAAAGTGAAACTAACTACTTAAATAACAAGTAGTTCGTATTATTAAAAAGAAACAAGATGTAATGAACAATAATCTGTATAAAATAGCCGTTATAACTGTTGAGAGAGTAATTCTTAACTAATGATGACAGTATGTATGGAGTTTCATGAAGTAAAATGATGAATATTCGATTAGGAACCATTAGAAAAAAGTGATTTCCATTAACCCTCCAGACTAGTTATTATTCGTTTGTTTTCTTTCCTAAAGATAAGACAACATGCAATGTAGAATAACGTACATCGTGTAGACAGCTAACTATCAATGGCTCAAAAATTGCCTTTTGATTCATTTTTCTCAGAAACATCGCACTCTGATCGTTGGAACTTCATATGAATACGCTTTTGATAAATTTAGCGCAGTTCATTCTTATTTTATAAATAAAATGGATAAGCGTAACGCTCTGATAATCATGAGAAAATGAATAGTACAATTCAACATATCTTGAAAGAATAGAGACGAACGTACAAGTTGGACTAAATGTTATGACTGCCTCTTATTAAGCAACTAGTATGTTTGAAATGAAACGGTAGTTTATGAAAAGCGTTAAACCCAATAAAACATACTTGACCATTTTTTCTTGTTAGTATTATATTGGCGATTGAGCCAAATGGTATAGATAACGTTGAAACTTCTAGTTCATTCACATCGGATGGTAAGCCACGAATGTGGAGAACACGAGATTCCGGTAAGGAATTTGATGATGTACTATCTAACCTTGCCTGTAATATGATAACAAATAATAATAATAGCAAGAATAAAAGATTATCGACGCAGTTGAATTTGTTTTGTTTAAAGGATGATACTTTCATTTTGTATTTGAAATTTCCCGAAAACAAATGAAAGAACACAAGTGTAGTAACAGTTATCAATTTTCTACCTGATGGGAAAGTTAAAATCGTCTTAACTGTGTTACAAGATATCGGCTAGTGTATTTTCTACTCTATCGCTGACATTCCATTTTATTTCTAACAAACAATGAGGTGGCGTGATCTCGTTAATTTGATAGAACTAGCACAAACGAAATACAAGTTTTAAGTTATACTTAAATATACAGAATATTATCATGGCAATAAAAAAGGAATGCATTAGTATATTGAGAGCAAAACCTTACAATTAGTTATTGAAAAATCAAGGAAACGGTTGGCATTTCCGATTATGTTGATTTAATATATGCACTCTGGATCAATGAACTACAACTATAACATGAAATACTGTCGAAATATTAAACTTGGTTTACTAAAACTGTAATAACTAACCTTTTTTGATTCAAAACGACTGGGGTCAACTACAGTTGGGACTTCAGTAAGAACTCTCTGAAACCGAAATAGAAAATCATTAACTTCTACGAATTCAACAGTAATGATTTATAATTTTTGAGGAATTTTAATCTAGCCTTAATCCCACGTATATTGATCACTATTAAGTTAGACTGGTATGTAAGACTGAATAATCTGCGAATGTACTCTCCAAGTGTAGACAAGTGGTTCAGTGGTTAAGACGTTCGACTTTTAAGTGATGTTTCAGACTCGATCTCCACTCCACCTGTTCGGGTTTGGGCCGCCGAGTTGTATCACTAGACTTCATAATTAATGTATGGTTTACGTGGACCGCGTAAAAGCGTGGACAATGACCTGGTAAGAAAGCCATCCTCTGAAGGTATTCGCTCAAACTTTAAAAGTTTGTCTATATTGCGAACTCGGAAGACTACCTGATCCTGATATTTTTTTGAAAATGAGAAAGATTTACGAAGTGACGTAGATTCATACAATGGTGTTCTTATATAAACTACTGCACTCAGTGGCCAAGGAAAACTATACAAAAGTACAAAAGTAACAATAAGACACCGACCAGAAATTCTACACGATTGGCTGAGAAAGGGATTTTCAGGAAAAATCAGATAACTCATAAATAATAATACCGAGGTTACCTTTTCATTTGTTGGTAGTGTGCTTAGTGAAAGTAAACTTAAATGATAACTAAACGGGACTAACGAAGAGTACGCAAACTGATCTTTGCAAAGCATTTCGTTTTCATCCCAACTTAGAATATAGTTATCTGGAAAATCCGTACGAGAAACTACATTGATGATGGACTGAAATGGGAGAGCTGAAGTCAAATTCGCGTTTGAAGGCCAAGTTTGGAGGGACGAAATGTTCATAAGGAAATAAATCTAACTGAATAAACAGTAGTAACCAAACAATATTAAGACAAGGGACAAAGTATTTGCTTACATTTGATTGGTCGATAAGATTAAATTCATCAGGTAAACTGTCTGCAAGATGACCAATCAGTGCTATGTAACATGAGATGAAGTTAAGCAATTCTCTTATCAAAACTACCCTATGCCATTTCTAGAAAAGCTTGTATGTTCAATTACTAATTGAGGAATATTTTTCAGATGTTACTAGCTATGTAGCCTATTTGCAATATATGGATATGGAGAATCCACCTGGGGGGTTTGGAAACCCTGATTTCAAAACCAGTGGTGCACATGGGCTCAAGGATCCTCAGGGAACAAATGGCGTACGAACTTATTGTTGATCATCGACTACCATAGGACTGCCCCCCGTAACATTGCTCCACTGTCTTGTGGATTAGACCTTTAGGTCAAAGGCTCCAGGTGTGGCTCCCTAAGAAAACCACCTGCTTCGGTTTGTGCACCCGGGCAGTATCCCAAGCCTCAGACAAGTCGAACGACGAAGTGTGGTGCATATACAATTGGTGCCTCATACCGATGTTTAAGTGATAAAATAATGAAAATAAATATATGACAGTTCAATTTAAAAAGCATAAAATTCACTATATCATCTGAGAATTTAGACTTAATGTCTGAGGTTCGTTTATAAATGTTTGACGACAGAAAAGCAAAACTCAGTCTTCCAAACGTGGGACGAAGTACACAACAAAACTGCCAATTCCGTAAAACCAATATGTGTAAGCTGTTTAAACCAAATGGGCAAAAAGCAGGCATTTTGTTGATAACACTACATATTTATAGCGACAGACAAAGGGCTAGACAGCGGGCGTTCCTCTTGGAATAAATGGATGTTTCATAATCTAAACACGGCAACATCTAGGATGAACCATAAAGTATAGAACATTTGGATACCAAAGAAGCGGCTTGGTAGGTCTTGTTTTCGTCGTAAGGACAAGTATTACCCAAGCATACATGTCAAAAATGACATCCTCAGATGATTTTTACTAATGATACAGACCATGCAGGGAGATGTAAACTTTCTGACTGGAGCAAGCGCAAGTTGCAATCAGTGGTTGAAGATTATGTGGCAGGGTCCGGAAATAATCAGTTGAACAGCACTGATTAAAATTCTCTCTAGCGAAGTGCTAATCCTTAATACGGATTCCTTATATCACATTATGATGCAACGTATGGTGATTATACGACGTTCTACTAAGACGAAAACATAGAGCCCAGGGAAGTCAGGCAGAAAATTTCTTACTTTAGTTATCATATCAGTCAGTCAGTCAGCTACAACGTAGGACCAGGCACATATGTGCATCGGTCCAGGTTGCCATACCTCATTAGCACAACAAGATGAACACCGGATTCATAGGAGTGGTTAGGTCAAAGGTTGCAATAAGGATATAGTATAGGAAGGAAGAATTAGTTCGTAGAAAGAAAGATATGAAGTGATTTTAATCTCTTAGTTTAAGGGAAGACAAAGAGTGTATACACCGACGCCATTGTGATCGATTTTGAGCCATGTCACCAAGAGTCTCCAACCATTGGTTACGAAAGTCACGCGGACCCCAACCAAGTAGTCTGCATCTACCAACATGGCTCAGACTAGAAGTTAGTGACTTCAAGCACTGATGCCACGTTTTGGTTTGGCCGCCCCTAACTTTCTTCCAACCATCTCCAATACCGGATAGCATTGCACGTCGTGGTAATCGGTGTTCAAGCATACGTAACACGTGGCCCAAGCATCTCAGTCGATGAAGATTCACAACCTCATCAACTGATTTACCATCACTCCCTAATACCCTGCGTCTATCCTCACTATTACTTACCCGGTGATCCCAGCAATATTTCTAAGGCATCTGTGGTCAAATACTAATAGCTTACGAGTGTCTTCTACTCTTAATGGGCATGTTTCGCTGCCGTAAAGTAAGACAGAACGGACTGCCGCGCAGTATACTCGTCCTTTTATTGATAGACGGATATCTCGCCTCCGCCAAAGGTGGCGTAAGTTGGCAAAAGCCAGACGAGCTTTTCGAATCCATCCCGAGATTTCGTCAGGCACCAACCCATTAGGGATGATCAGACTTCCAAGATAAGTGAAGTTGTCAATGCGTTCGACTACTTCACTCCGTCCTTAGTTCAGGTGTTGACGCAGACCAGTCCTGAAGCAACAACTTGCATTTAGAAGAGTAGAAATGCATAGCAAACCTCCTGGCATTGTTGCTCAGTGCTACCAAAAGACTCTGCATTTTATCAGCGTCTTCACCAAACACGACTATGTCATATGCGTATTCTAAGCCGATAAGTGGACCTCCTGGTAGGAGATCAATACTCGAGAATTCAGTCGACGAGAACGTTATTTCCATCAGTAGGTCTATGATGAAATTGAACAAAAATAGAGAAAGTGGACAGCCTTGATGGACACCACCTGAAGTTGCAAAAGTAGATGACAGTTCGCCATAAGCCCTGACTCGACTAGTAGTGTTCGAGTAAAGAGCCTTCACAAGGTTTATGTACTTCTGAGGTACGCCTTTCAATGACAGACACTGCCACAGAGTCTCGCGGTCTACAGAGTCAAACGCTGCTTTTAAGTCAAGAAAGACCACCATCGTCGGACGCCGATAGGTATGCCTGTGTTCTAGAACCTGACGAATGGTGAATATGTGGTCGATGCAGCCACGACCAGGTCTAAAGCCAGCTTGGTTCTCTCGAGTTTGTAGTTCACGAGTCTTAGTTAGGCGTCTGATAATTATCGAGGCCAGTATTTTAGATACTATGTTTGTTAAACTAATCCCTCTGTGGTTGTCACAGGATGATTTTGACCCTTTCTTATATATTGGGACGATAAGTGATTGCGACCAGTCAGATGGGATAAAGTCTAATTCCCAGATCTTAGCTAAAATATTAGTCAACCTAATCGCTAAAATTGGACCACCATCCTTAAAGACCTCTGGAGCCAATCCATCTGGACCAGCTGCCCTTCCTCGTTTCAGATTAACTATAGCCTTTTGAACTTCAGCAAGAGTTGGGGGACCTACTTCAATGTTCCATTCACATTGTCTGGAATGGAGGGTAGTTGTAGAGTAGCTGAAGGCCAGTTGAACTGTTCTCTAAAATGTTCCGCCCATCGTTCTAAACGTCTGGACTGGGAGCAGATGAGAGTATCATCTTTTTCCGAAATAATCTCACTTACACTTGACTTATTAATTCCAGTTTCTTTTATTAGTCTGTAAAGCTGTCTTGTGTTCCTTATGGTCGCCGCCTTTTCCATCTCTTTTGCTTTCGTTACCCACCACTGCTCACGGTCGTTCCTTAGACTTTTTCTTAACCTAGATCTGATTTGTTTTCGCTCTTCATCATGTTCAGAACCTGATGGGACGAGTTTGCGAGAATCCATCAGTGTGACAGACCTTGAAGAAATCCACTGGTTCCTTGCAACTCTGTGGTTTAAGTCACTAATAGATGTCACTGCTGTTTCCACAGCTGATTGTATGCCCTTCCAAGCAACATCTGGGTCAGCCTCGTCTTCGCAACTACCTAAGTGTGACCTCAGTTGTTCCTGGAACCTACTTTTGGTTTTCTCGTTATCTCAGTTATCATATCGTGTTAGATTAATCAAAGATGCAGAATGTGAGTAGAATGTTACAAAGAATGTTGTCGGTGATGCAACTGACTGGTGAGACAATTTCGATTCGTAAAATGGATAAAACGGACGCTAGTTAATAAACACTAAGCAATGATGCGATATGTTGAGAAGCGGTTGCTTACGAGGATGAATAATCTGTTTAAGAATTCGAATCATCTGGAGCCATGTACAACTAACCAGAAGAGTGGGTCTTCTGTAAAGAAATGACATGGATGTACACAAATTATGGACATAGAAAATAGCATGATAAAATCCCTTAGGTGACTGGAGGATACTAGTACGTAGGTCACTCTTCAATTAGCCAAGACCTGACGACTAAGCCCAACTCTTGGGCATTATATCGGAAACGCTATAACTTACTATACGTCAAACCAATTTAATGATTTGGGCGCTAAACTGTCGCCACTATGTGAATCCAGAAATAATTTACTAAAAACTGATTTTGTGAACAACTGAGGCTCAACCAGAGAAACCGGTCGGAATGCAGTGTAGATGAAGTTGGATTGATTTTCTTTATCCAGACGTTTCTATTACAGAATAAATAATTAGTACATCAGCCATGATAATCTGTAACCAACCTACATAATTTGTTGTCAAATATCAGACCTGAGCTAAAAGTAGGGGAAAAACTAGACTAAAATGAACGCAAATTCCTCTAAGTGAGTGACTGAAGCTAATACGAAGTTTTCGAAGAGAAGCTTGATGACTATGTCCCAAGAACATGACGGCTTAGTATTTTAAAGATATTGAACCCAATCTCCCTATTCTAGGGGAAATTTTGTCTGTTTTGGAACTTTGGGGAAATGGCACAAACCCCCCAAAATCCTCTCGAGTTCGGGGGAATTCTCCAGAATCTTAAGGTTCCTCAAACTGACGATTGTCACTGGACTTTGGGGGGAAAGCCGAGGATCTCATAATCAGGAGATTGCAGCCACGTTTCCATGGGAACATGCAGCAATTTGCTGTTTCCACACAGTCGATTTTGAAACATAATGCATATAACTTTTGCTGCGCTTAAAAAGACCACCATTTTGAAGTAAATCATCCTTAGTAACTTCAACCGAGAGCGAACCTGCTTCGTTGTATCATGCCGCTTCATCGTCGTTGGTAGCGTCAAATTTCTTGGTATAAATGGCGAAGACTGAGTGACTCAAGGTCTTTTAATATCCAATTTTGTACAACATCAAAAAAATTAAAATAGGTCTGAAAAGCACTTTTTCGATGTCCTAGTTTGATTTTATGGCCAAAGGGTTTTTAAATATATGAGTGCCTGTATAGGATTCTTCTAAATCTGCCTCTCAGTAGTCTCATGTCTATATTGGCTGGCAGAGAATGGAAGAACACTCAATCCTGTTGTTTAACAGGCACGAGTGTTGGCAGTTGTTGATCTTTTGGTGAATGAAATTTGATAACTGCTGTGTTGGTCGCCATTATGACTTTCTGTTGGGTCAACATATCGTGTAAACCATATTATTTAATGGGCCTTCCATACCGACTAAATACCTCGCTCACAGACTTTGTCTCTGTTTGGTTTAATAATATGATGTGGGGTTTGCTGAGTTTCAAAAATAAGTTGTTTTGTTGTCGCTGATGGCTTCACCCATTTACAAGGGAAGGAAAACTCAAATTTCTTACACTGTTTCTTGCCCCATATAAGTGTAAAGATGCAGCAAGTATTCGCAGTTTGACAACGCCTTTACCCCTACAAATGGATTTTATCTTAGTCAGACATGTGTGCAGATGCTAACCATATTCTCTTGAAGTTAGAACTCAGAGTCACGCAACTTCTGAGCTTTGGTGTTAGACACGTAGATCACTAACGTAGATGACCTATTTAGAATGATTGGGGACCTGCCCCAGTTAGAGGGGAATGGTGTGACCGACAACTAACTTCGACACCACGCCCCAATATGAGCACTTAACGTGAATTGCCCCTTCGTCGTATCAAGGTACTATGGCTGCTTTGAAGACCGTAAAACACAAAGGAGATTATTAAGGAAATATATTGGCAAGAGTGTGTACAGAGAAGATAGTGCAACCACCACCGTATAGACCAATCCATGGCGTACAACCTACTGATGAGCGTTGGTTGTTCTTGACCATTACGGTGATCGATGAACTGTTCAACATTCAGTGACCCAACTGCCGGATGATTTGAATAGGTATGAAAATTTCAAGTGTAGCGGTAAATAAATCCCCAAAATAAATAGCTCTGTAAGTTTTCGACACTGGATGCTGACCACATGTTTTAATGGACTCACCTAGCTGAAGGCGCTCGGTCATGCATCCGCACCAGATCACGAGTGGGAAAGCCGTGCTCAACATCTACTGCAATCGCTAGCCAGATTAGATCAAACGATTCTCAATATATTGACAGTCAACAAATATATCTTCCGATCTTCTCGATTCTGTCTTTTGATTTCTCTTAATGGGTACGCTTCATATTAGAAGGTGTTACTGGTTAAAGCGTTGTCAAACACTGAATACCTGTGTCATCTTCATAAGTATTCGGACCAGGAATCCCTGAAATAGCGCAATATAGTAGACAGAACTAGGTCAGTACCAGATGCGTAGCATTTCCTGACGAACAATCGAAACAAAATCTAAGATTGCAGGAGATTTAAAGTCCAAGCTCATTGTAAATTTCTGGCATTCGTATCCTCTGTTTGATCATGGGACTCAGCAATTAAGAATTAGTCAGGCAGTGGTCAAATAAGTAAAACATCTGCACTGAAGCAGCCCAAGAGAATATTTTTGTACACAAACTACAGAACAAGGATGCATCATTGGATTCCTAGCCGAATTAAAGAACGGAGTGAATCTGAAATGATAGAGGAAGATCAGGAAAGAGCAGAGGCTATGGCTGACTATTTTGGGACAGTCTTCACTCTGGAACCTCCTCTAGACAAAGAACCAAACCAAAATAAACAGTTAACAAACCACCTGCTCACCGTGGACTTCAATCAAGACGATGTTTTTAAGACTCTTAACACCTTAGACATGAAAAAGTCAACAGGACCAGATGAACTACACCCCAAAATCTTGAGAAATATTGCATAATATCTCTCGGCCTCACTGACTGTGATATTCAATATGTCACTTCACCAAGGTGTGTTACCTATGGGCTGGACGCAATCATCACTCCCATACATAAAACAGGATCAAGACAAGTTCCATCGAACTACAGACCTGTAAGTCTCACCAGTGTTGTAGTTAAAATATTGGAAAGGATAGTCAAACGGACCATAATGCCATTTATGGAAACCAATAACCTGCTAAACATAGAACAACATGGTTTTCGAAAGGGTCTATCTTGTACAACGAACCTTCTTGTAGCCAGGGAGTTTTGGACAAAGGCGCTAGACAACATAAACGCGGTGGATGTTCTCTACATAGACTTCAGTAAGGCTTGTAGAACTATGGTCTACTATGATATTAGTACTGCTCTAATAATAGACCTAATCCTAAATTTGTAGATTTGTCATGATATAACTGCCTAATCTATAAGATCTTGCGTGGAAGTCACACCATCGACTACACCAACTCACTGTATCGCATCAATTACCAATATATGATGTAGAACAAGATTGGGCCAGAGAAAGAACAATATATTTAATATGAATAGAAGATATAAGGTAACATTCAGCAGAGACCACGCCTGCATGGCCGAGCCATGCCACTCGATCAACTCCAGTCCATTCAAATCATTGTTCGCGCTTTCTCCATTGTTAGGTATTTCTCCGCGTTAAATATTGAATATCTATTTTCTGAGTAGTCTCGTGTTCACAACTTTGAAGGTATGTGTGGCTATTGTCCAATGCCACTACAGGCTTTTGACAAGTTGCCAACTAATAGACTGCTATTGAAGTTGGCAAACCTTGGTATTGGCAGACCTCTCTTAAAATAGATTAAGGATTTCCTAGTAGGTCGTAGACAGAAAGTAAGAATAAATCCCAAGTGATCCATCTGGAGACCAGTACTTAGTAGGGTACCTCAAAGTTCCGTCCAAGGTCCTTTACGTTTTATAATGTATGTTAATGATCTCCCAAGTATAGTACAGTCTCCAATGTTATTATACGCTGACGATGTATTTATCTGGGGAATAATAATTGGAGACGCAGACGCATGTGCTCTTCAAGCAGACTTAAATAATATGATCAACTGGTCTAAAGAGTGGCTGATGCCTATCAACGCAGCAAAGTGTGTCTTCATGCACTTTGGGGATTCAAAGGTTAATAGGTACGACATAGGGGAAGTGCCATTACCCGTGGTCCGGTCTCATAAGGATCTAGGGCTGACAGTGAGTCATGATCTTAAGACGACGGCCCGTTGCCGGGAGGTCGTGGTTAAGGGATTTCGAACCCTCTGGGCTTTAAAACGGACATTCACTTAGTTAGATACTACCATATTCGCCACAATATACACATCCTTAGTGAGAACTAAGCTTGAGAACTGTGTTCAGGCTGCAAGCCCCTAATTAAAAGATGACCCGGATATCCTAGAAGTACAGAGGGCAGCTGCCCGTGCAGTTCCAGAACTCCAGGGTTCACCATACAAAGAGCGGCTTGAAAAGCTGGACCTCTTTGCTCTGTCCTATCGCAGATTAGGGGGAGGTCTAATTTTTAATACTGCGAATACTGAGAAACGATTTTGAACCTAACTTATCCTCTCTTTTTCTTACCACTAGATCGTGACATCTCAAAGGACATAGCAAGCGAGAAGAAAAGCCAGGAATGAACAAAATACCCGTGGCATACAGGTTTTCACACCGAGTCATCAATACTTGGAATCTGCTGGTCGAAGCAGTGGTGTCCGCACATTCAGTCGTTTCTTTCAAGAGAAGACTGGACACTCACAGAAGCATACTAGAAAAGTAATAACATAGGCCGTATGCCTTCTGTTCTTACTACACAAACCTGTATCTGAATCTGACATTCAGTGACAGTTCACTGACCTCACAGACATGACACTCGGAGCCAGATTCGAAGTAAGGTCTATTCTCTGAAGTGATTGTGTTCACTTCTTGGGAATGACGCGCGCTACGCGAAAAGCAGTAATGCTTTTCTTCGTCCAGTAAATCTTCTAGTTTTAGTCATATTCTAAGGTATAAAAGCTTTTTCTATAATTATTTAGATTTGATTTTTAATGTCAGCATCATAGAAGCCTTTACCTTTCGTATTCAGTGTCTATCACTTTTAGAGCTTCGGAAACACTTGTTTTAGAAATCAGATGCTTTTTGTCGTTTTCACAGCGCCCAAAGATTTTGTTTTTTTGTTATTTCTGTGAGCTCAGTTAACAACTTAAACGGCCCAAACAAATTACCATTGCGATGAACTCACATGCTGCTGTCCGCCTTTGGATCACCAAAGCAGATGATGTGTCGAATGATTTGGGGCCTACCCGAGTTAGGCGGGAATGGTGTGATTAACCAGCAGACATCAAGATCATATATCACGGTCAGTACTGAACCTGGATTACCCTTTCGTCTTGTACAAGTAGTATCACTGATCCGGTGACCGTATGACACCACTGACGTCATTACAGAAATACATTACCAAGGGCAGGTACAAGGAACAGAGTGCGACCACTGCTTTATGGGACAACCTATAATGTTCAGTCAACTGGTGCGCGTTGGTTGTTCTTGATCTTGACAAAGACTGGTAAATCGTTTGATATTTAGTGACCAGGCTGCAGGACGATTTGGCTAAGGCTCGGCGACAATTCGCTGATCCTACACGCTCGAGAGTGGAATGCAATCTAATAACTCCAACAAGTGGTATCACTACGTGCGCACTGAACTCACACTGCCTGCATATAAGGGATATTGTAAGCCACTGTTTTGTTGGTTGCAGAACGTATGCTGTCTCTGTCGATTCTTGAACGATTAAGCTGCTGGACACAGCTAGAAACATGCATTCAAACGAACAGTCAGTAGCAGATGAGCAGGTGATGGATTGTGGGGAAGCATTGAGTGTCATCATGATTTTAACCTTGAATTTAAATGAACTCAATAACGTGGATGGCAAAGGAACAGATGTCAACACAACTACAAGGATAACAAAAAAGTATACAAAGAACTGCAAAGTATGTGAGTTCAAAGTTTCAGCTACCAAACCCAATATAAACACAAAACAGACCACGTA